TGGTGCTGACCCTGCAGCTGACGGTGACGCTGTCCACCGTGTCGGTGTTCACGTTTGTCGGGGAAGTGAAGGGCTTCGTCCGGAAGAATGTCTGGACCTACTATGTCTCCTACGCCGTCTTCTTCATCTCGCTCATCGTCCTCAGCTGTTGTGGGGACTTCCGGCGGAAGCACCCCTGGAACCTCGTTGCACTGGTAACCCCTAAGCCGAGCCCTGGCCTCTGGGCCCAGTCTGCGGGGCCTGGCTGCCCCGAGGCTGGGGGGCGGGAACCACAGGGAAGCGCCAGAGTGCCACACACTCAAGGCCTGGCCTGGCCTGTGTCCCGCAGTCGGTCCTGACCGTCAGCCTGTCCTACATGGTAGGCATGATCGCCAGCTTCTACGACACCGAGGCAGTCATCATGGCCGTGGGCATTACCACGGCGGTGTGCTTCACGGTGGTCGTCTTCTCCATGCAGGTGAGGCCCCCCGGGCAGGGCTGTGGCCCCAGGAGCCTCCCGGCCTGCCTGGGGCCGACACCCACGCCCCTGCCCCGCCCTCGCAGACCCGCTACGACTTCACCTCCTGCATGGGCGTGCTCCTGGTCAGCATGGTGGTGCTCTTCATCTTTGCCATCCTCTGCATCTTCATCCGGAACCGCATCCTGGAGATCGTGTACGCCTCACTGGGCGCTCTGCTCTTCACCTGCGTGAGTGTGGGGGCCGGGCGCTGGTGGGGCGAGCTAGCGCCAGCGCCGGCTGTGGCTCAGTGCGCTGTGCTGTCGCCCCAGTTCCTGGCTGTGGACACCCAGCTGCTGCTGGGGAACAAGCAGCTGTCCCTAAGCCCTGAGGAGTACGTGTTTGCCGCCCTGAACCTGTACACGGATATCATCAACATCTTCCTGTACATCCTCACCATCATCGGCCGCGCCAAGGAGTAGCCGAGCCCCGCCGCCGCGCCCTGCCTGGGTGCACGGTGGCCTGGACCCTGCCCTGGCATGGCAGTGCCATTGTACTCCCCCTCTTGTCCCTGGGTCCCTCCCTCCTGTGTGCGTATGCTGCAGATACTTACCTGTGGACCCACAGGGCCACAGCACGGCCCCTTTAACCTGCCCCCGGGTGGTGGGCTGTCCCTGTGTGCCCCCCGCCCACTCGCTGCATGCGCCCTGTCTGACAGCCCGCTCCAGGGTCTAGGCCACAGCAGGTCCCGGGGAGAGGGGTCCAGCCAAGAGGTGAGGCTGCACGTCCCCCTGCCCCAGCTCCCCAGCCTGACACAGAGTGCCCCTGCCCCTCACACCCCACCCTGGAGTGCTGCCGTCCATGCAGGCCGGGGTCTCATCCCTACGCCGAGCCCTGCGGGTGGAGAGGACAGCATGCTCCAGGGAGGAGGGTGCCTCCCCTCGTCCTGCTGTCACTAATTCCAATAAATAGGGCCCTCTGCTCTGCCTCCTCCTCACTCTTCCGCCCGTACCCCGACACAGGTGGGGAGGGGCACCCCACAATGAGGGCATCAGCGTTAGGGTGACGATAGGGACTGACCCTCTCCGCATGCTTCGGCCTCCTCTCGCCATCTCCCCAGCCCCCCATGATCCTGCAGCTCCCAGCCCTGGGGCTCCCCAAGTTCAGCATGGACTGGCCACATAGCAGGGAATGAGCTGGCCGCACCTGCTCCTAGGGCTGCTGTGGCGGAACCGTGTGTCTGTGAGCCCCCCACACCCCTGCCATCGGTTGCTGAGACGGGGCCAGCAGTACGGGTCACTGACCCACTCCAGGACAAGCCTGTCAGGCTCCCCAGGCCCCGTTTGGACAAGGACCCTCCCCAAGAGAAAGCTGTCGAGCTGGGCAAAGACAGGACGCAGCCAGTCCCCGAGCCTGCCAGGCCACGTGGTCCCTGAGCCTCAGCCCTAGCCTGCTCTGCCCTTCGGCCTGGAGGCTCTAGGACGGGCACCCAGAGCCCCGTGATCTGTCCCCGCTCTTCATAGGGATACCTACTGCCCGGGCCCAGCCCCGTCTGAGTGCTCCTGGGCATTTGAACACAAGCAGCCCCAGGGCCAGAGGAGTGTTGGCCGTGGCCTCCCCATTGCCTCCTCCCCAGCCTCTAGCTGTTACAGAAAACTTAGGGGGGCCACGCTCTCCCCCAGCACGGAACTGGTGCAGCGCCTCGGCATGTGTGGAAGGACCCGCACAGCCAGTGCCACACCACACCCACAGCTACCTTAGCTTGGCCCGTGCAGAGCCTTGCCCACCCTCCCCAAACCTGCCCTCCCACGTCGTCTCCCCAGGCTGTGTGTGGGCCATCCGCCCTGCCTCCTCCCTGCCTGCCTGCTTTGGCCTCCGCCTGGCCTCCACTGGGCCACTCAGGTGTGTCTTAGGGAAGGACCCGCACAGCCAGTGCCACACCACACCCACAGCTACCTTAGCTTGGCCCGTGCAGAGCCTTGCCCACCCTCCCCAAACCTGCCCTCCCACGTCGTCTCCCCAGGCTGTGTGTGGGCCATCCGCCCTGCCTCCTCCCTGCCTGCCTGCTTTGGCCTCCGCCTGGCCTCCACTGGGCCACTCAGGTGTGTCTTAGCGGGGGCTCCCCTGCCTCCTTGGAGCCCTCAGGAAGAAGCCCACGCTCCTTAGCCTGGCACATGGCCCTGCCACCTTCAGCTGCCCACCCACCAACCTCGCTCCCCCCAGCCCTGACCTCGTACAGCCCGAGCCACGAGCTGTTGCAGTCCCAGCCCCTCTGCAGGGCAGAGTATGAACTGTCCTCCGGGCTGCCAGGAGTCGCCTGGGACCCCTCACCCTCTGCCGCAGCCAGGCACTCCACAGCCCTAGCTCACAGCTCCCCAGCTGTCCCCACCAAAGAGCAGACGGCAGTCACAAGGCTAAAGTGACACCTGTCGGGAGGAGGGGCACTCGGGTAGCCACCGAGCAACACAGGCAAGGGCTCAGAGGACACTCGGCTGGGAGCGGGCTTGGGCGAGGCTCCCTGGAGCAGCCAGGGCCCTGAGGGCCTTACTGCAAGGACAGTGAGGGCCGAGCACCGTGAGGATGGGGTTCTGTCCTGCAGGTGAGGGGCGCTCGGGCAGGGGCACAGGTGGACAGGTTTGGAAGAGGCCCAGAGCGCAGAATGGACGGAGGCAAGGAACACCGAGCCACCACGGGGCAGCTGGGTGCAGGGCCAGGGCATGGATGCTGCCAGCCAAGGCGTCCGCCTGGGGAGGGCAACGAGGAGGCCATGCGCTGAGGCCCGGGCGGGCAGGGGTGCTCATGCTGGCAGTCCGACAGAGCCCAGGGAGCTGTGAGGTCACTGCGTCAGTTTTCAGACGAGAAAGGAGAGTAGTCCCCACATTTGGGTGCAGGCCTGGTGCTATCTTCTAGGTCTGGTGTTGCCAAGAGTCGGCCTGGCACGCTCAGAGGCCTCGCCCCTGTCCAGAGCCGGCCCGGCACACTCAGAGGCCTCGGCGTTCTCCCAGTTAAAATGCAAGCCAACATCGTCCTCAGACAGGCCACTGTGAGCCTGATGAAACGACACAGGCCCTTCTGTCGCCATAGCTAACACACGTGAGAACACCGCCTGACCCAGTAGGGTGGGCAGTGCCTATCCTGGCCCATCAGAGCAGCTGCTGCCCCTTCCAGCGGAGAGGCTGCGTCTCCCATCCTTCCCACCTGACGGGTCCCAGGCAGTTTCTGTGGCACTTACAGAAGCGCCTGGCCCTGGCTTATTCGCAAAACCCCCAGTTCTGGGAAGTGGAAGGCGTCGGAAAATGGCACACGGCAGGCTCGTGAGCCGGGCCCAGAGCGCGCCGTCTGAACCCGCGGGTGTCCGGCCTCCCCTCTGCATGTAAGCCCGCCAGAACTCAATCACAGGGCCCTGCCCTCATGGCCTCGCCACACCCCACGGGGGACTCACATCCCACTTAACACCCTCACCGTGAAGTCAAGTGCCAATACACGAATCTTGGGGACACCCGAGCCATAGTCCCTTCGGAGGCCTCCCAGCCCCGTCTCACAAGCTCCTGCCACCCCCAGCGCACTCCCTCAGCACCACGAGCAGCCAGCCAACCTGTGCAGCCGGCCTCGTCCTGGCGGCTCCGCGGGACAGGGCTGACGGCTGATCTACCTGTGAGGCCGAGGAAGGCGAGTTTATGTTTAACTGGGGCACCATCATACATTGAAAACATGTGGAACCCACCTGACCCCTGGGTCCCAGCTTAGCCGGCCTCCTTCCGTGCACTCAGAGCGTGTGGCGCAGCCCCCAGTTGGGCAAAGCGTCCACGAAGCCGCCTTTGCAGCCGCGCTGACCGGCCCATGTAGTGCCTGGGTGCTGAGCACTCTGCGGCCACTGCCCAGCGTCTCGAGGGAGCAGTGGTCACATGTCACCAGCCGAGAAAGCCAGCATCTGAAATCAGAAGCGTGCTTCCCACTGAGCGTGTGTATCTTCTGTGTTGGCGTGAAGCTGAGACTCAGAAGTCGAACCGTCCTAAGTGGGGACCATCTGTAGTGACTGCCAGGCCCCTGCGAGGCCATGGCTTTTCCAACAACCTAATATAACACTCTCATTCGCAAGAACAGCAAACAGGCAGCTACGGAGCAGGGCGTCCAGGCGTCTGCCACGTTCCCTGCCCTGCAGAACGGCAGGGTCTGTGGTCCAGTTGGAAACCTCAATGGGGTCAGCTCTAGACCCCAGCCCACGCTGACAGGGCGGGGCCCTGGGCCCTGCCTCTGGCTACCCAGCAGTGGCCCCCCTGAGCTGCGGCTGTGCCCTGTGAGTGTTAAGCGCCCTGCCAGCAGGCAGTCTGGGACCTACAGCACTATGGCTGTCAGAAGGCCAAGTGGGTAAACTCCGCAAGGCCAGGCATGAGCTACACAGGACCAGCTGCCGGGACCAGGGACAGAGGACGCAGACTTCTGGGCTCTGGCTCCACGTCCACACCCATGGGAGGCACTCCGAGCAAAATGAAAGCCCAGTGGAATGTGGGAGGCGTGTGGGGAGCCAGGGGGAGAGGAGAGGGTGCGGGGACAGCTGGGGCGTAGGCCTCCGGCGGCATGCTCAGGCCTGCCCCCGTGTCGCAGCTAGCAATGAACTTGGACATGGTTTCTGCAACAGCAGGAAGGTCAGTGGGGACTGCGGCGACACTGTGGGCCGTGAGGGCCTGGGCTCAGCATGGTGGGGCATGACGAGGGAGGGCTGGCTGCACCCTGCAGGCTCCCAGGCTGGCCCTTTCCCCACTGGGGCGCGCAGGCGGTAGGACGGCCTGACTTCCGGCAGCCAATGTTTATTTACTTTTTACTTTTGTTTTAGAATTATTTTATTTGACATTATTATTTTAAAAATTTGACCAGAGAGAGAGAGAGAGGGAAAGCAAGAAAGCAAGCCAGCCATCAAGCCCAGGACTCGAACTGAGGTTGGCCATGTGGGAGTCCAGTGCCTTAACCACTGCCACCTGTCAGCCCCCTTATTTTGGGTTTTTTTTTTTTTTTTTTTTTTTTTGGGGGTTTTAGTGTGCGTGCGCTCGCCAGACAGAGAGAGAGACAGAGAGACAGAAAGCGAGAAATCACCCCCCAGGGGGGATGGTCACGCCGCAATCCCTTCTCCTCCATTCTCCTCTCAACTTGGGCACGCACGCACACGCGCCCGGCGTGAGTTTTAAGCCACCGGGTCCGGGACGCGAACCGCGGTCGACTGCGTGGGAGTCCAGCGACATAGCCATTACGCCAACTGCTGGTTCCCAGATTTCGTTATTTTTGCCAGAGGGCACTTTTGTTGCACCGAAGAAGAAGAGAAAGTCCCCCCGACAGGGCCTGGCTGTGCTGCAGCTCTTCTCCCTCCACTCCTCCCTGTCAGAATCTCGGGCTTGCTTCAACGCCTGGCGTGTCTTTCAAGCCACCAGAACCAGGACTCAAACCATGGTCAGCCATTTGGGCTCTGGCTACACAGTTCCAAGCACCTGCGCCCCAGGGCTGGTCCAGACGCTTCTGGTTCCTGCTGCTTTGTCTGTGTTGGAGGACACCGGAGGCCTTTCGGAACGCCCCAGTGTGCACACACCCCGCCACAATTTCTCAACTCCCATGTCCTCACTGCCAAAGGACACCTCCACTCCCTGGCCCTGCCTTCCAGTCCATGTCACTCCATCAGCCACATCCGTCACTTCAACTTCCTCAGCGCAAGGCTCTGGAGCAACCCCTTCCTCTTGCTGTCTCCGTCACCCCTCACTGGCCGGCCGCTCACCACTACCCAGCAGCTTCCTGGTTCAGGGGGGACCCCAGCCCCGGGCCCCAAACCGCTTCCTGACACCCTGGAAGTCCCCTCTCTCCAGCCGCCCTCAGGGACCCTGCATCTCATCTCAGCTTCTAGCTTCTCCAGCCTCGTCTTTGTCTCCAGCCTCGGCACTGCAGGCCACAGGATCTCTCTGGAGTAGTGGGTGATATCACAACCTGCTAAGATGCCTTCAGAGAACCTC